AAGACCCAAGGATCCCAAGATCCCAAGATCCTAAGGATCTCAAAGTGAGAACTGATTCTTCCCACCACTTCTCTCTTCCTTTATAGTAATCTTCCTGAGGTCAATGGGCCATCTGGGGTCATATGCTTCTAATTATTTTACGTAGAAAAATTCTATTAAAACATTTTTTTTTCTAAAAATAATTTTTTCATCACGTTTGAATCACACTCGAATTTTCAAGTTTGAAATCTGTGAAACTCCTTAAGCAGATCAAATTTTTCACCCTAATTATATTGTTTCCTGTTTGAGATATCAAAAAGTTGTCAACTGATATAATGTTGCTGATAATATGATGAACAATGTATCAGCTTACCGATCTTTGATATCTTTTACAGGAACCGAGCAAAAATTGGTTGAAGTTGGATCTCCAGAGTTTAAGATTTCTCGAAATTTCAGAATTTCAAAATTTCATTTTTGTTTTTGTTTTATTTATTTTTTTTGTATAAATTTAAAAATTGTTTGCAGTGCCTTCAAAGCATGTTCAAACATTATATATTGAGAATTTAATAAACTTCCCTCCAAATAAGAAAAATTGTTTTAACAATTTTTTTTTGAATTTCTTAGATCAAAAAGAATTTTGTTTTACTGCTCGTTGAGTGAACACATTGTGCTCATTTGAACACAATGTGCTCAGTTGTTTGCTCGGTTTTCCCTATTTTTTGAAAATTCGTTTGTGTTTTACTTCCGAGAAAAAAAGAAGATATCATTTGTAGAAATTCGAAAAATTCGAAAAACAATTTTTTTTCTTTAAAGCAAAAGAATTAAAAATTACAAAAAATGTTTACAAGTTTTTCATTATTTTCGGACATTCTTGAGCTCAAAAATCATTCTAATGAATTTTTTGACAATTTGAATCAATTTTGGCCTAAAAACTGTCGAAAAATGCACAAAAATCATTCTACTGCATTTTCAGCCAATTTGACCATTTTTCACCAAAAAATGCCAAAAAATTCCAATTTTTCAAAATTTGTGTTCTCCTCAGAAATAAAAATGACTCATTGCTCATTGTTCCTAAAGTTCAAAAAGATCCGTATCACCATTTTCTTTCTGACAACATTGATCATCTTGTTCCCCCAATTTTTCTATTTGCTCAGACAAAACAAAAAGTTGGCTCCGATGTGCAAAGTTTTCTGACTTTGTGGCAATTGAATTTTCGGTATATAATGAAAGATTTTAGCGTTTTTTGAGTCATTTTTTGTCTTAAAATGATTCCAATAACCTTAGAAAGTGCTGAAAATGCAGAAATTTCCAAACAACGATTTTTTGGAATTTTTCACTTTTTTCACACTTTTTCACCATTTCGCCTGCTAGCAAGTCCTAAGCCTATTTTTCGATTTTTCGGGTTACTGTACCTTGTACCTACAGTACTCCTTATGCTATTTCGATTCTATTGGATGCTATTCCAAGTGGATGGAGAGTTTCTATCATTTTCCTGGGCTGAATCCAAAATGTACGGATTCTTTTCCATGGAATCGGCAATTCTAACCTTGTCATTGGGCAGAATGGCATGGGCAAATAGTATGGGCAGATTTGAAAACAATTTGGAGGCCTTGAAATGTCTGAGAATCGAGAAAACCCCAAGAAAAAGGACGATTTTCGAATTTTATATTTTCGAGCCGCGATTTCTAATATTTTCCTATTTTTCACTTTTCTATTGACCTCGATTTATTTGGCAATACATCGGAAGGCCTCTTTTGGAGAGTAAGTCAGCTTTTTTTGAATGATTTTTGAGCGTTTTTTGGCATTTTTAAGCCAAAAAATGCCTAAAAATGACTGAAATGGCACTAGAATGATTTTTGAGCATTTTTGGACCATTTTCATACCAAAAATCTCTGAAAATGCTCGAAATGGTTTTCTTCATCATTTTAATTATTCATTTTCAGCCCAAACCCGTCCTCCTGGTACTGGATAATTGACCTAATTACCTCAATTCTATGCGGCTACTCGAATTTCTTATTTCTGCCAATTCATGCTCTCCGAGCTCATGCAATTACGCGGGAATTTGAAATTTTCAATGAGGAACTCGAAAATGCGGATAAAGAGAAAAAATTGGAGGTAGAATGATTGTTTTGCATTTCAATGATTTTTTTGCATTCCTGGCTTTTTTCAGAATTTGCCAATTATTCGAGGATTTGGAGCCCGCCAAATCAAATTGTTCGAAATTGCCAATTCCTTAACTGGAAGAATCGGTAATTTTGTTTTGGATAATGCACAAAATGCGGATTCCCTGGTCCGGGTTCCGGATTCCTGGATCCTGATTCCAGATTCTCGGGTCCGGGTTCCGGTTATCTGGGTCCGGGTTCCCGGGTCCGGATTCCGGGTTCCCGGGTCCGGATTCCCGGATTCCCGGGTCTGGATTCCCGGGTCCGGATTTTTCTGAAATTCTGAATTCCGGAAGTTCTGAATTTCTGAATTCCGGAATTTCGGCATTTCTGAATTCCGAAATTTCGGCATTTTTGAATTTTTGAATTTCTGAATTTCCGAATTTCCGAATTTCCGAATTTCCGAATTTCCGAATTTCTGAATTTCTAATTTTCTGAATTTCTGAATTTCTGAATTTCTGAATTTCTGAATTCCGGAATTTCTGAGTTTCTGAATTCCGGAGTTTCGGCATTTTTGAATTCCGGAATTCCGGCATTTCTGAATTTCTGAATTTCTGAATTTTTGAATTTCTGAATTCCGGAATTCCGGCATTTCTGAATTTCTGAATTTCTGTATTTCTGAATTTCTGAATTTCTGAATTCCGGAATTCCGGCATTTCTGAATTTCTGAATTTCTGTATTTCTGAATTTCTGAATTTCTGAATTCCGGAATTCCGGCATTTCTGAATTTCTGAATTTCTGTATTTCTGAATTTCTGAATTTCTGTATTTCTGAATTTCTGAATTTCTGAATTTTTGAATTTCTGAATTTTTAAATTTCTGAATTCTGGAATTCGGATTCCCTGGTCCGGGTTCCGGATTCCTGGATCCGGATTCCAGATTCTCGGGTCCGGGTTCCGGTTATCTGGGTCCGGGTTCCCGGGTCCGGATTTCCGGATTCTCGGGTCCGGATTTTCGGATTCCCGGCGTCGGATTCCGGATTCCCGGGTCCGGATTTCCGGATTCCTCACAAAATTCTAAACCTCTGAATATTTGAAATTCCATTTTTCCGAGTTTAGAGGTTTAGCCTCGGAGGGGCGTAAACCGACTGGTTTTCTAGCATTTTCATGATTTTTTTCAGAACGCTACATGACTTGGGCTCCTGCATTGTCAATTTTGGCATTTTTAATGGCTACATACATTATTACTGAGTAAGTTTTTAAAAGAATGCTTAAAAATCATTCTGGTGCATTTTTGACTTCAAAAACTCATTTTTGATCATTTTTAAGCATTTGTTAAAGTCACAGTTGATTGTAAAAATGCCTACAAAACATGTAAATCATGAAAATGAAAAATGAGCATTATTTTCAGGTTTGGCGTAAAACAGTTTCCAGTTTTATACCATATTTGTCTTATTGCATATGTCATTTCTGGATTTATCATGAGTTTTGCATTAATGTATCCAGTTGCATTTATACAAGAGGCGGTGAGTGGGAATGATCGAAAATCATGAAAATGATTTTTTGGCATTTTTGGCATTTTCATGGGGTTTTTGAGATTTTTTTGGGACAATTGTGAACATTTAAAACTATCGAAATCCAAATTTTATGAAAAATGCCAAAAAAAATGAAAATGATTATTCGTCATTTCTATCATTTTCGAGCATTCTGGATTTTTTTTTTGATCATTGAAAGCACTGAAAACAGTTTTTAGCAAAAATTGAAAATGTAAAATCCTAAAATGCCAAAAAATCAAAGAATGATCAAAAATCATGAAAATCCCAAAAAAAAAATCATAAAAATGATATTTTGTCATTTTCGTTCATTCTGGCTCATTTTTCTCATTTTTTCAAGTTTTCAGATGCTTGCCACGTCACATGTATTGCTCAACTCAACTATTCTCCAAGAGACCAATGATCCTTTAATTTTCGAAAACTACCGTATGATTCTGGAAAGATCTCTACACAATCGATTAACCAATAATGTTCTTCATGTTTTTTCGATAACTCGAAAAAATTTAGAAAGATTGTTTTTTGTGCATTCTGTCATGATCATTATCATGGTTTGGACATTCGAACTGGATGATGGGATTGCGAAAGGATTCGAGGGAATCGGGAAAATGATAATGATGATGAACATGACTGGAAGTCATGATAATGTATAATGATCATTATTCATCCATTTCTATTTATTTGTGTGTATAAATGTAATGAATATTTTTGAGAATTTTTGAATTTCCATACTTGCGGCCTTCGCTGGATCTGCCACATTTTATCTTAGAATTAATATTTTTAGACCAACTAAATTAGACAGGATAGAACTTGAGAAGTACTACAAAATGATATTATTTGGAGAATTGTGTCTTGTATATGAACAAAGTTACAGACAAAAAACTAAGTCCCGGCCCGGGTAGGATAAGCCACTTTATGACTTGTAACTTTGTTCATAGACAAGACACAGTACTCCAAACAGTATCATTTTGTAGAACTTGCAAAGTTCTATCATACCTAATTTAATTGGCTCCTTCCTCTGTCATTCCTCCTTCCTCTGTCATTCCCTCTGGTGTTCCTCAAGGATCAGTCTCCGGTCCCTTACTATTTCTCATATTCATCAATGATCTGCTCTTAGAACTTGAACAAATCCCCTCTCTTCACCTTGCCGCCTTTGCTGATGATATCAAATTGTATTCTCATGACCCAATCGCCCTTCAAACTGGTATCAACATGGTTGTAAATTGGGCTACCGCCAACCATCTCTCTCTTGCCCACTCTAAAACTGCCCTTCTTCGCCTAGGTTCCCATAAATCTTCCCATCCTCTCAATATTGCGGGTGTCAAACTTACTCCCTCCTCCTCCGTCCGGGACTTGGGACTCATTACTGATTCCTCTCTCAAATTCTCTGCTCACATCAACAAAATCACATCTCTAGATCTTCTCCGTTCCAAACAACTCTTAAAGTCATTTAGATCTAAGTCTCCAGAATTCTACATTCATCTTTTCAAATGCTATGTTCTCCCGATTCTTGAATATTGTTCTGTAGTTTATTCCCCTCCGCCTTCTTCTCGCCTTGCTCTAAAACTAGAATCTCCCTTAAGATTTTTCTCTAAGTGTATTTTCCAGCGTTGTAATATCCAGTACAGTTCCTATTCTGATCGTCTCTCTATCCTCAATATGTTCTCCATTCGACATCGTAGGCTAAAAGCTCAACTAATTCTTCTCTATAAATTTTTAAATGGCTCCGCCTACTTTCCTAACCTAAATGCACATGTCAAATACTCCTCCTCCCCTCGTCGCCCTATGAACTTAATTATTGTTCAGCCCTACTCCTCTGACTATTTTTCTTCAATTGTTCCCCTGTGGAACGCCATCACTTCCCAAGTTACCCGATTTCTCCTACCTTCCGAGTTTGAATCCTTAATTTCTTCCAGTATTACCCGTTATTGATATATTTGCTCCCTATTTTTCTTTTTCTACCGGTTACATCTTTCCTGTGTCAAATATCTAAATTATCCCGTTTCCCCTCCCCTACTCAGATCGGCCTCGTGAGGGGCATTTTTTCTGAGTCTTTCATGTCCTGCCCTCTATTGTTTCATTACACCTGGTCAATAAATTAATTAAATTAAATTAAATTCAAAACTCAATTTTCAGGTTTTTGCACAATTCTTTTCTTGCATTTTCTGCACTTCTGCTCTTTTTTCGTCCTAAACCTATCACACATAAATTTATATATATATATATATATTTTTTTTTTTCAAAGAAAGCACTAAGTTGAAAAATATCACTAATTTTTTTTCTGGAAAAGTACAAATAAATCAGACCACCACACAACCATGTACTTCTTATCATTCTATGTTAATTACCGTGTAACGCCTGTATTAGAAAGATCAACCCTTCTATTGTTTCGAGGTAGCTTGGAGGGCCCTTCAATTAGAGGGGGGGAGGCTTCTATTTTTCCGAGCCCCTCTCGGAGAACCCTTCTATTAGAGGGGCCCTTCTAAAACAGGTTTTACAGTATTTTAAATTTCTGAAAGACACCTTCTCAGTAGCAAAACTAGCAGACGTGTGTCAATCTAGGTCTGTTTCATAGCCTCCAAAATTTTCAAAGTGATCAGAAGCTTGATAGCCGAGATCCAGACTCCTGAAAATGATCAAAATCGCTGAAAATCAACTGCGGTACTGTGTAAAATAAGAAAGCGGGAAAAGAAGAACAAAATGATCAAAGTAGAATACACTATCATGATGGAATGGTGGTCATGTATGTCTTATGTGTAGTGTATTTGATAAAGTGATAAAGATAATACACACACACATACACAAACGGACAGAAAAATATATAGTCAAACACACAAACTAATGATGCAAAAAAAAATGTTTTATATGTTTTATTGTACTACCAGCAAGCTGGTCCGCCTTCGGCGCGATTCAAGCTAACTTTGTTACTGGTTCCTGGCTCCTCAATTATTCGTAAAGGGTCACGTAAATCTATATTTATTTTTCAAGTTTTTCAAAAATCCGGATACTAGGACCAACAGACGCGTCTAGCGTTTTATGTTTCTGAATGTCTGAAAAAAAATTGTGTCAATTTTTTTTCGTTTAATTTACAGTAAAACCTGTAATATAAGGGCCTCCTTAATTGTTACCTTTGAGCTAATTTATCTCGTTTCCTGATAAAGGTATCAAAAATTTGTCAACTGATAAATTGTTTATCATAATATCCTTTACATTTTATCAGTTGGCCACTTTTTGATATCTCTCATAGGAGCTGAGATAATTGGGCTCTTCTATTACAGGGTTTTCCGGCTAATTTAATTGACTTTTCACCTGTCTTTCTAGTAAACATGTCCTTCTAGTCGGTGCACGTGTCCACTTCCAAATCTTATCATCATTTTTCTCTCCCTTTTTTCTCTTTTTCTCTATGTCTCTCGCCGTTTCAGTACTATTTCTCTTTGTTCACCTTTTCTGGTTCTATTGATTCGTTTCTCATGATTTTTGAGCTAATTTTCATGATTTTTCTACTTTTCAGATTTTTTTCAATTTTCACAAAAATCATGGTCCGCGGAAAATGTACGGTTTGTGATTCTCCAAACGCTACCAATTATCACTTTGGAGCACAATCGTGTAAAGTGAGTTTTTGGATTTTTTTTCTGAATTCCTGAATTTTTGATTTTCTGAATTTCTGAATTTCTGAATTTCTGAATTTCTGAATTTCTGAATTTCTGAATTTCTGAATTTCTGAATTTCTGAATTTCTGAATTTCTGAATTTCTGAATTTCTGAATTTCTGAATTTCTGAATTTCTGAATTTCTGAATTTCTGAATTTCTGAATTTCTGAATTTCTGAATTTCTGAATTTCTGAATTTCTGAATTTCTGAATTTCTGAATTTCTGAATTTCTGAATTTCTGAATTCCTGAAATTTTGAATTTCTGAGTTCTGAATTTCTGAATTTCTGAATTTTTGAATTTCTGAATTTCTGAATTTCTGAATTTCTAAATTTCTGAATTTCTGAATTTCTGAATTTCCCCATATTTCAAATTTTACTGTAGTTTCAGAATTTCAAGAATTTGCATTTTGAATTGCCTAATTTTCAAATTTTCAAAAATCAGAACTTTTGAATTTCAAAATTTTAGGGATTTCAGAGTTTTTGTTTTTCGAAATTCTGAAAATTCCAGAAATTTCAAAAAATCCCAAAAAACTGAAATAGGTTTTTTTTCGGATTTTCGAAATTTTCAAGTTTTTAGGGACTTAAAAAATAAGTACTAGCGTTTGCAAGAATTTCAAAAATTGAAAAAAAAAAACAAATTCCGGAAAGGTCGGATTTCAGATTTTTTTCAATTTTTTTGGGAATATCCAAAAATCATGAAAATGATCATTTTTCATTCTTCCAGGCATGCGCAGCATTCTTCCGAAGAAGTATAGCAATGGGACAGTCGTATGACTGTCTTGGTGATGGTGTCAAACCCTGTAAAATTGATCATAGTGAGTTTTTCGAAAATTCGAAAAACATTAAAAAAAATTTTTACACTTTTTTTAAAAATTTTGGTATGGTATGTCTAAATGTTTGTATTTGTATGGTTTTTCAGTTTTAGGTATGTAAAATTTTTTTTTGAGTTATTGAACAAAATTTAATTTTCCAAAACATTCCAATTTCCAGCTCTCCGCATCAACTGCCGTCATTGTCGTTTGAAAAAGTGCTTGCGTGCTGGAATGGTCCGTGACTGTAAGTGCTCAAACAACTACAGTAATCCAAAAAATTTCAAATTACAGTAGTCCAAGCAAAGCGGGAAGTCAAAACGGACCAGAAAAATTCAAGAAACTCTAGAAATTCGTCTCAATCCGAGGAGAGTTTTCCACAGATTCCGCAAATGCAAGAAATCTCACAAGTTCCCGAGAGTTCTGGACAGAATTGTAGGTTGCACGAGAAACGCGCCAAGGCACGAGAAATGCGTCAAAAATGAGTCAAGGTTCAAAAAACTAGTGAATCGAAAAAAAAATGCGCGATTCATGAGAATTGTGTCAAGGCACGGGAAATGTGTCAAGGCATGAAGAATGCGCCAAGGCACTAGAAATGCGTCGAGGCACTAGAAACGCGTCAAAATTGCATCAAAATCTGAAAATTGCTCAAGAATAGATAAATGTGCACTAAAAATGCGCAAATCACTAGAAGTGTGTCAAGGCACAAGAAATGCGCCAAGAAACGAGGAGCGGGTTAACGCACGAGAAATGCGCCAAGTCATAAAAATTGCGGCAGGGTACTAGAAATGTGTTGAAGCACAAAAAGCGCGTCAAGGCACAAGAAGTGCGCCATTACATGCAGTGACGCAAGTTTTGTGCCTTGACCCATTTCTGGTTCGTTGACGCGTTTCTCGTTGTGTTTTCAACCTCTTTGTTGCACCTTGACGCATATTTTGTGCCTTGACGCATTTTTTGTGCCATGGCGCATTTTAGTACCTTTGCGCAATTTACGTATCTTGACGCCTTTATTGTGCCTCGACGCATTTTTTGTGCCATGACGCATTTTAGTACCTTTGCGCAATTTACGTATCTTGACGCCTTTATTGTGCCTTGACGCATCTTCGGTGCCTTGATGCATTTTTGGTGCCTTGACGCCTTTTCCGTGCCTTGGCCTATTTTTGGCGCTTTGACGCCGCTTCGGTGCCGTGACGCCAATTCCGTGCCTTGACCGATTTTTGGTGCCTTAGCTTGTGGATTCACGCTCTTGTCGTAGCTTGGCGCCTTTCTCGTGCTTTGGCGCGTTTCTTGTTCCTTGACGCATTATTGGTGCCTTGGGCGCATTTCTCGTGCCTTGGCGCATTTCTCGATCCCTATGATCACGATTTCTTCAGATTTCGACCAATACCCATCCACATCTCAAAAGCCGTCTACAGACGTCATTTTTTACTCTGAAAACGAATGGGATTACTGTCAACCATCGCCAAAATCTAGAAAAATGACAGAATCCGAGGAAAACTTGATGGGAATGGAGGAATTGCAACAGTTTATTCAAGTTCCCGACGATTTTCCGATTTTGGAAGATTCTAGGTCTCGGATGACGTCGTTTTCAGAATCCTCAGGTGAGTAGAACTATGTCTAAAAATTTTATTTTTGTAATTTTTGAAAAAAAAACATTTTTGAAATTTTTTTCCAAAAATTTAAAATTTTCAAATTATCATAAGTTGGCTCATTTTCAACGGGTTTTGATGATTTTTGGCTTAAAATGACTGAAAGAATTCGGATTTTTAAATAAATATAATTATTGAAAATTATAGTAAAATTTTCAGCAGCTTATTTGTCTGGAATTGAGGAGGAGGAGAGATTATTCGCGTTGGCTGCGCTGTACACGGATCAAGTCATTAATTTGAACATGAGACGGAGGATAACGTACACAGATCATTTGTTGGGGTCCGTTTTTGATGGTCCATGTGTTTGTGTGAGTTTTTGAAATTTAGGAAAAAAAAATTCAAAAAAAAATTTTTTTTTTGAAAAAATCAATTTTCCCCATTTTCAGCCCTACGAAAAATCCGATCTGAAACTTTTCGATCATCGAACGTATCGACAAAAAAATCGAAGTGACTACACAATGATCCTGGACTACATTAATCGATTCCCAGATTTTCTGAATTTGAGCAAATCTGAAAAAGTGAGTCTGAAAAAAATCTTTGAGCCAACTTTGAGCCAATTTATCTCGGTTCTTGATGAAGATATGAGAAATGTGTCAACTGATAAATTGTTCATCACAATATCAGCAACATTTCATCAGTTAATTACTTTTTGATATCTCTGATAGGAACCAAGATAATCGAACTCATAGTTGACTGTCAGGGAGCGACCCTATATTTTAGGACCTTTAACTTTAAGCTTAATTATCTCGGTTCCTGATAAAGATATAAAAAATGTGTCAACTGATAAATTGTTTATCATAATATCACCAACATTTCATCAGTTGACACATTTTTGATATCTCTGCCAGGAGCTGAGATAATTAAGCTCAAACTTGACAGCGGGGGGGGGGGGGCGTTCTATTACAGGTAACAATTTTTTCCATTATCTCAGATTGTCCTTTTTCGAACCGCCGCTGCTGTAGATGTACTCCTGGACCAAGCCTATTATAGTCAAGTGTAAGGAACTACAGTAACAGTAACCGAAAGAAAAAAATTTCCAGATTATTCCCAAATGATGCCGTTTTGGTGACGGCAAATGGAGAGTACTTGGCTATGGAACCAATTCCAAAAATTGAAAATCAGAGAGATTCTGGAAACTTCGAGTCTGATGAGGATTTTGATAAATTCAGGTGAGAAGACCATATTTTTCATGATTTTTGAACCATTTTTCATGATTTTTGAACCATTTTTCATGATTTTTGAACCATTTTTCATGATTTTTGAACCATTTTTCATGATTTTTGAACCATTTTTCATGATTTTTGAACCATTTTTCATGATTTTTGAACCATTTTTCATGATTTTTGAACCATTTTTCATGATTTTTGAACCATTTTTCATGATTTTTGAACCATTTTTCATGATTTTTGAACCATTTTTCATGATTTTTGAACCATTTTTCATGATTTTTGAACCATTTTTCATGATTTTTGAACCATTTTTCATGATTTTTGAACCATTTTTCATGATTTTTGAACCATTTTTCATGATTTTTGAACCATTTTTCATGATTTTTGAACCATTTTTCATGATTTTTGAACCATTTTTCATGATTTTTGAACCATTTTTCATGATTTTTGAACCATTTTTCATGATTTTTGAACCATTTTTCATGATTTTTGAACCATTTTTCATGATTTTTGAACCATTTTTCATGATTTTTGAACCATTTTTCATGATTTTTGAACCATTTTTCATGATTTTTGAACCATTTTTCATGATTTTTGAACCATTTTTCATGATTTTTGAACCATTTTTCATGATTTTTGAACCATTTTTCATGATTTTTGAACCATTTTTCATGATTTTTGAACCATTTTTCATGATTTTTGAACCATTTTTCATGATTTTTGAACCATTTTTCATGATTTTTGAACCATTTTTCATGATTTTTGAACCATTTTTCATGATTTTTGAACCATTTTTCATGATTTTTGAACCATTTTTCATGATTTTTGAACCATTTTTCATGATTTTTGAACCATTTTTCATGATTTTTGAACCATTTTTCATGATTTTTAAACCATTTTTCATGATTTTTAAACCATTTTTCATGATTTTTAAACCATTTTTCATGATTTTTAAACCATTTTTCATGATTTTTAAACC